ATTGGAAAAGGGAGGACAAAATAAGATGGAGATATGAACAATATACAGAGGTTTTGCACGCATCTCTGGAAGGGGAAAAAAAGAGAGGAGTAGCTATTATTTTTTCTAAAAAGATCAAAAAATAAATTATACACTTAGAACTGGATGAGGAAGGTAGATATCCAATGTTAGTGTGTAAAATAGAATCAATAATATATACTATTAATATATCTGCCTAATATCTTGCCTACGAAATACCTTTAAAAAAAAAAAAATGGATAAGGTTGACAAAGTAAAAATGGGGATCCTAATAATTGCAGGGGATTTTAACTGTGTCCCAGATATTTCAGTAGACAAAAAAATTAAGGATAATAAAAAAATAAATGGACAAATAAAGAAACCATCAAAAACTCTGGGAAATAGTATGAGAGAGATGGGTCTCATGGATACCTGGCGTGTTTTCTATCCCACGGAAAGAGAATATACTCATTTTTCTAGAGTTCATCAGTCTCTTTCCAGAATAGATCTGGTCTTGGGAGAGAACTCTTTGGTGGAACAGATTAAAAAATTGAAATAGTTGAAAACCCATGGGCGGATCATAGTTATAATATATTTAGAATAAAGGATAAAAAAATATAAACCCTTTAATACCTATCGATTGGATGATAATATCTTAATGAGTGAACATCAAAATCAAATAGGAAAACTCATTGAGTTATATTTCAAGGAAAACAAAATACAATTAAAATATTTCAAAGAAAAAATAAATAAAATAGAAATAGAAAGAATTAACAGATATCTAGACAAAAATGAAAGTAAATTATTATCATGATAACAATAAAATTACAAAGTGGTTGACTAATAAGTTGAAGAAAACAAAAGGGGTTAAATAGGATAACAAGTATTAAACCCTGAAGACATAGCAAACATTTTTAAGAACTACTACGAAGAGTTATATAACATTCCTAAATCATAAGGGGAAAAACAAATAAAGAATTATTTGTAAGATATTAATTTACCAGAGAATCCCAAACAGCTTAATGATAAGTTAAATATCCCTCTTACGAGATAGTTATCTGAGATCACTTCCTCTACTGCTGCAATGCATAAATTGAGGATTGTCCTTCACCACCTCTTCGTATTAGCAGATATCTGAAGTTTCACTGGGACTCCTGATAGGCCAAAGCCTGTTTGGCTCTAGCAGCCTTGAGTGCCGTGTAAAGACACCTTGAGTGCCGTGCATGGCACTAGTGCCATAGGTTGCCTACCCCTGTCCTAGAGGGAGATTTTTTGTCCAATAAATTATCCATCGAGCCACACAGATAAGAGACATTGTGATCAATATGTTACCAGGTAAAGGTACTTTAGGCATTATTTAAGAAAAAAAACAACTAATTTTAAGAATTTGCTGAACCAGTTACATTATTTTTCCCCTAACTTATCTGTCGTGGCCTAGATACAGAAAGCCATTTGTCTACTCCGAAAAATCACAAGAGTTTATTCTCTTAATTCAGAATTCACAATTAAATTCCAAATATTAACTCATTATAACTGAACAGAAAAATTAGTTAAAGGGATCCTATAGTGCCAGGAAAATAAACCCGTTTTCCTGGCATTATAGGCTCTTGGAGTGTCCCCCTCCCTCGGGACCAACCTCCCTCGGCGCTGAAGGGGTTAAAACCCCTTCAGCCTCTTACCTTAATCCAGGTGTAGGCTCCCTCAGCGCTGGTGACCTCTCCTCCCCCTGCCGACGTCAGCTCCTGAGTGGAGCCAAATGCGCATGCGCGGCCAGAAGCGCGCATATTCAAACCGCCCATAGGAAAGCATTACTAAATAGTAATGGGGATCCTATGGGGATCTTATTTGACGCTGGACTCCGTGAGGACGTCCAGCGTCAAATAAGTGATTTACTCACTGACAGCCACTAGAGGCTGGATTAACCCTCAGTGTAAACATAGCAGGCTCTCTGAAACTGCTATGTTTTCAGCTGCAGGGTTAAAACTAGGGGGACCTGGCACTCAGACCACTTCATTGAGCTGAAATGGTCTGGGTGCCTGATCATATAAGGCAGAAATGTTACTGTTGCAATATCCAATATTGAACAGAAATTACATTCTGCAAATGGCCTCCGGCTAAACTGCCAAAGTGCTTGAAAACTACTATGGCTGTCTAAGGCAGGAAAGATATGGATGGGAGTCGGATTAGGCTTAGGGTGATGGGGGTGACCCTGTTTTTGTCGTACCAGTGATATGTCGCTCAAAGATTCCTTGCACTATAACAACTGCAATGTGCTCTAGTGGTTATGGGGTTCGACAGCCCCTTTAATAATAATCTCAATAAACATAAATATTTTATTTTAATTTTAGAAAGTGTGTCTCACCTGATGTAGAAGAAACTATTACCTTAAACCATAATCTGCAACAGCAATTATAAAGCCGGGCAAACTGATAAACTCGAAAAACGTGTAAAATTATTTTCAAAATAAAATATGTATCACCTGCAACAAGGCTGCTTCCTGGAACATTCTGCTAGAAGGCGTTCAAGAGACAGCCCTAAGGGTATTTCAAGTTAATTAGAAAATATAGAAGAATGTTCCTTGATCTTAAAGCCCTATACTAAATGTAACTGTGAGATGGTCTGAAGGTTAGGTTACAGTTAGTTATACTGGGTGGGTTTATATTATTAAAGGGACACTCCAGGCTCCCACACATGTTAGAAGCACTGTGAAGGTTAGGTTACAGTTAGTTATACTGGGTGGGTTTATATTATTAAAGGGACACTCCAGGCTCCCACACACGTTAGATGCACTGCGTAGGTTAGGTTACAGTTAGTTATACTGGGTGGGTTTATATTATAAAAGGGACATTCCAGGCTCCCACACACGTTAGATGCACTGTGTAGGTTAGGTTACAGTTAGTTATACTGGGTGGGTTTATATTATTAAAGGGACACTCCAGGCTCCCACACAGGTTAGATGCACTGTGAAGGTTAGGTTACAGTTAGTTATACTGGGTGGGTTTATATTATTAAAGGGACACTCCAGGCTCCCACAAACGTTAGGTGCACTGTGTAGGTTAGGTTACAGTTAGTTATACTGGGTGGGTTTATATTATTAAAGGGACACTCCAGGCTCCCACACAGGTTAGATGCACTGTGTAGGTTAGGTTACAGTTAGTTATACTGGGTGGGTTTATATTATTAATGGGACACTCCAGGCTCCCACACACGTTAGGTGCACTGTGTAGGTTAGGTTACAGTTATACTGGGTGGGTTTATACCGTTGCAAGAAAAAGTATGTGAACCCTTTGGAAGGATATGGATTTCTGCACAAATTGGTCATAAAATGTGATCTGAGCATCATCTAAGTCACAACAATAGACAATCACAGTCTGCTTAAACTAATAACACACAAAGAATGAAATGTTGCCATGTTTTTATTGAACACACCATGTAAACATTCACAGTGCAGGTGGACAAAGTATGTGAACCCCTAGACTAATGACATCTCCAAGAGCTAATTGGAGTGAGATGTCAGCCAACTGGAGTCCAATCAATGAGATGAGATTGGAGGTGTTGGTTGCAGCTGCCCTGCACTATAAAAAACACACACCAGTTCTGGGTTTGCTTTTCACAAGAAGCATTGCCTGATGTGAATGATGCCTCGCACAAAAGAGCTCTCAGAAGACCTACGATTAAGAATTGTTGACTTGCATAAAGCTGGAAAGTGTTATAAAAGTATCTCCAAAAGCCTTGCTGTTCATCAGTCCACGGTAAGACAAAATGTCACAGTGCTTCTAACGTGTGTGGGAGTCTGGAGTGTCCCTTTAATAATATAAACCCACCCAGTATAACTAATTGTAACCTAACCTACACAGTGCATCTAACGTGTGGGAGCCTGGATTGTCCCTTTAATAATAGAAACCCACCCAGTATAACTAACTGTAACCTAACCTACACAGTGCACCTAACGTGTGTGGGAGCCTGGAGTGTCCCTTTAATAATATAAACCCACCCAGTATAACTAACTGTAACCTAACCTACACAGTGCATCTAATGTGTGTGGGAGCCTGGAGTGTCCCTTTAATAATATAAACCCACCCAGTATAACTAACTGTAACCTAACCTACACAGTGCATCTAACGTGTTGGAGCCTGGAGTGTCCCTTTAATAATATAAACCCACCCAGTATAACTAACTGTAACCTAACCTACACAGTGCACCTAACGTGTGTGGGAGCCTGGAGTGTCCCTTTAATAATATAAACCCACCCAGTATAACTAACTGTAACCTAACCTACACAGTGCACCTAATGTGTGTGGGGGCCTGTAGTGTCCCTTTAATAATATAAACCCACCCAGTATAACTAACTGTAACCTAACCTACACAGTGATCTAATGTGTGTGGGAGCCTGGAGTGTCCCTTTAATAATATAAACCCACCCACTATAACTGTAACCTAACCTACACAGTGCACCTAACGTGTGTGGGAGCCTGGAGTGTCCCTTTAATAATATAAACCCACCCGGTATAACTAATTGTAACCTAACCTACATAGTGCATCTAACGTGTGTGGGAGCCTGGAGTGTCCCTTTAATAATATAAACCCACCCAGTATAACTAACTGTAACCTAACCTACACAGTGCTCCTAACGTGTGTGGGAGCCTGGAGTGTCCCTTTAATAATATAAACTCATCCAGTATAACTAACTGTAACCTAACCTACACAGTGCATCTAACGTGTGTGGGAGCCTGGTGTGCCCCTTTAATAATATAAACCCACCCAGTATAACTAACTGTAACCTAACCTACACAGTGCATCTAACGTGTGTGGGAGCCTGGAGTGTCCCTTTAATAATATAAACCCACCCAGTATAACTAACTGTAACCTAACCTACACAGTGTATCTAAAGTGTGTGGGAGCCTGGAGTGTCCCTTTAATAATATAAACCCACCCAGTATAACTAACTGTAACCTAACCTACACAGTGCATCTAACGTGTGTGGGAGCCTGGAGTGTCCCTTTAATAATATAAACCCACAGTGCATCTAACGTATGTGGGAGCCTGGAGTGTCCCTTTAATAATATAAACCCACCCAGTATAACTAACTGTACCCTAGCCTACACAGTGCATCTAACGTGTGTGGGAGCTTGGAGTGTCCCTTTAATAATATAAACCCACCCAGTATAACTAACTGTAGCCTAACCTACACAGTGCACCTAACGTGTGTGGGAGCCTGGAGTGTCCCTTTAATAATATAAACCCACCCAGTATAACTGTAACCTAACCTACACAGTGTATCTAACATGTGTGGGAGCCTGGAGTGTCCCTTTAATAATATAAACCCACCCGGTATAACTAACTGTAACCTAACCTACACAGTGTATCTAATGTATGTGGGAGCCTGGAGTGTCCCTTTAATAATATAAACCCACCCAGTATAACTGTAACCTAACCTACACAGTGCACCTAATGTGTGTGGGAGCCTAGAGTGTCCCTTTAATAATATAAACCCACCCAGTATAACGAACTGTAACCTAACCTACACAGTGCTCCTAATGTGTGTGGGAGCCTGGAATGTCCCTTTAATAATATAAACCCACCCAGTATAACTAACTGTAACCTAACCTACACAGTGCTCCTAACGTGTGTGGGAGCCTGGAGTGTCCCTTTAATAATATAAACCCACCCAGTATAACTAACTGTAACCTAACCTACACAGTGCACCTAACGTGTGTGGGAGCCTGGAGTGTCCCTTTAATAATATAAACCCACCCAGTATAACTAACTGTAACCTAACCTACACAGTGCATCTAATGTGTGTGGGAGCCTAGAGTGTCCCTTTAATAATATAACCTCCCTTTAATAATATAAAGCCTAGAGTGTCCCTGTAATAATATAACCTCCCTTTAATAATATAAACCCACCCAGTATAACTAACTGTAACCTAACCTACACAGTGCACCTAACGTGTGTGTGTGAGCCTGAAGTGTCCCTTTAATAACATAAACCCACCCAGTATAACTAACTGTAACCTAACTCCAGGCTCCCACATACGTTAGATGCACTGTGTA